ACTATGCTAGGTCTTGTGCCTACCGGGCCTCACTTACTTACCTCTTGACTTTGCTTGTATTGTGATCTATATATACTTGCACCTGCATGCTTACCCTTGTTAGGTTTAGATCACTTTCTTGCTTGTTCACCTTGATTTATAATCCTGCATGTGAACTGGCCTTGTGGCCTTGAACTTGTGCTCAGAACGTGTGGTGACGTTGTGATCCACCCTGAGCTTGACCTTGTCTTGTTCTCTTGCTTGTCCCCCACTTTGCCTATGGGGGTGTGTCAGAACCATATTGTAGGCTACAGTGGGGTTGACAATATGGAGTACAACTCTTTTAGGTTTTCATATTTGTACCCACCTGCTTCCTAGTTGATTCCATTCCTCGTACTTTTCTCACAGGTATCTCCCCTTGAGCAGGTCCACTTCATGTACGGAGAGGTTGCCCCTGTTGGCCGTGGTGAAGAGAAGGTTGTGCGGGCGTACGGCGTGGTTCATGGCACACAGCCAATACTTTTTGGGTAAGCCGGACTGGTTCATGAGGGCGCGGACCTTCGTCATGAGGGTGCGGTTGACCCTCTCTGCGACACCTTGCTGCTGGTCAGTGTAGGAGAGAGAGATTTTATTCTTGATCCCCTTTTCCATGAGGATTCCTTCCAGCTCGTTGCTGCAAAACTCCTTGGCATCGTCGGTCTGCCAGATTTTCAGCTTCTTGCCTGATTCCTATTGTGTGTGTGTGAGCCAGATGCGGAAGATCTCAGGGGCCTTGGAGCGGATGTCGACATTGGTGATCCATACGTAGCGTGAGTACGCATCCACAAAGGTGAGTAAGTAGTGTTCGCCGTTGATGCCTTCGAACGTAAGCACGATGTAGTCGCTGTAGGCTTTCTGCAGCTTCTTGTAGCGATTGGTGTTCGGCTCCAGTGAGGGGTAGGCTTGGTGTGTGAGGGCCGCGGTGGGGCAGATTGTGCAGGTTGTTGTGTGTGATGTGGAATGAGGCTCCGTCCCATCGGGGCGCAGCAGTGCTCCTGGGAGAAAAACTTTGGCGCGGAGGTAGTTGTTAAGCATGTGTGATACTCCGCCGCCTCTGCTTCTGTCTCATGGGGAATGAGGAGCACTGGTCCTTCTTCTTCTCATATTTCTGTTTCGTTGTCCTGCTCCTCTGCTTCTGGTTCTGCTACTGTCTCCCCTTTTGTAGGTGCCGTTGTAAGGTAGAGCGCGAGGAAATTGCGGTCGGGGATGATGTTTAGCGGAGTCCTGGTGCCCTCGATGAAACGGGCGAACAGATCCGGGCAGGAGATTGGTCCAAGAGAGTCATGAGGCAGCGTTGCTGGCATGTTCCCCTCCTCAATCTCCCACCATGGGTCTTGCCAGTTGTGAGGTGAGCGGGGTGGTGATGGTCGGGTGCGTGGGCGTCGTCCAAGTGGGACGACGGCTCTTGGAGGAGGTCTCTCAGCAGCCATCTCTCTCTCTCTGCTTCCTCAATTTCTTCCTGGGTAAGGTCGCCTTCGGCGAGTCCCCATCCCCTTGTATCGCCCCAACCACCAATTCCCTAACTTTGGACGGTGTCGGATGCGCCAGTGGCAGATCCCCATGTTGCTCCGGTGCCGTCGTCGTCTCCCCATGCACCGCGTTGTGCTGACTCCTCATCCCATCCTGTCGCGAGGCGCTCCTGATATAGCTTCTCTCTCTTCTCTGCCTTTGCTTTGTCTTCCTCCTCTTTGACGCTCAGCTCCTCTTTTGTGTCGGGGTGTTTCCACTCTCTATCAATAAGGGTGCGGTAAACATCGCGGGTGTAAGGTCGCGGGCTTCCCTCCTCGTCAAGAGTTCCGGTGTTTCCTTCCAGTACCAAGCGGAGAGTTTCTGATCAAGGCGTTGGGCGCTCCTGCTTCCTCTGGCCGAGATCCTCGTTCACGGTCCCAAAAACGCGGTGAGTGGTAACAGCCAGCTCCTTCTCTATCATACCTTCAGGCTCTGCCTCGGCGCTTTCCGCCTCTTGAATTGCCGCATAGTCTCTCTCAACTTCCTCTGTGTAGCTTGCCGTGGGTGTGAAGCATGTCGTGCAGAGTCCGTCGGGCCCAGGTTGGTGCAGATTGATCTCACGAGGGTGAGGACTGCGGCGGATCCACGTTGCCATGACTCCTCGTTCATGTAAGGAAAGTCCAGGGGAACGAGGTCCACAAGCTCGTCTGAGGACGCTTGGTGGTTAGGTATGTCAAAGTCGAGCATGTAGACACCGCCAAGCGAGCGAGCTCTTCCGAGGTATTTGTGCAACTCGGCGGGTGTGTCTGGAGGAGCGTGGGTGAGGATGAGGTCGCGTGTGTAGGGATCCGTAGTGAGCATGACTTCGCAGTCAGAGGATTGTGCCGCGGACAGCAAGTTAAAGTGCAGGTCCGGCACGTAGAGCACGTCATTGAACATGATGTCCGTGTTGCTGTCTCGAGCTTGCAGCACCACAATGCCTTGCGCATTTGCGCGCAGTTGCTCGCCTTTGGCGACGGTGACGTAGGTTGCGGGGGCGCGGATGGTGTTCGAGATGTATCGGAAAAATCCTACCATGTGCTGGCCGCAGCAACTGTCCAGGTACCAGGTGTTGTGGTTGGTATTGTTGTTGTGTGACAAGCGTTGCCTTGTATCTGCTCTCAAAAAAATCATTTTATCTCCATCCCACTGGAACAAAACGCTAGTGATCGTGGGGCGGGCTTTCCCGCAGTTGTATTGGCTAGTGCCAATCTTGCTCGTCCTCTTCGTCGTAGTAGGAGTTCCCTATGAAGGAATTGTTCCACCCTTCTTCATGTTATATGAGCGCGCTGCGAGGTTCCTCCTCTTCGTCTGGTGAAGCAGCTCGTGGGCGGCGCCTTGGCGCCATGTTCAAGATCACGTTTCTGGTAGCTCCTGCTTGAGGTCCTTGTGTCTGTTGTTGTTGTGCAGGAGGGCGAGAAGCTTGATGTTGAGGCTGGAAATGATGAGCGTCTTGTCGCCCAACCCAGCTGTTATGGTGAGTGGAATTTGGGTGGCGATAGTTGGACCGGGAATTGCATCGGTCTATTGAATGTCCGAAGACTTTGCAGATTTTGCAATAATGGCGTCTTGGTTGTCGTCGCTCTTTACGGTTGTTTGTGTAGAAGTCGAGGCGCTTTCGGCGCGGCGCGGAGCTTCTCTTGCTCGAATCCATGTCCTCCTGTTCAGTCAGGAGGGCGGCGCATAGCGCGTCTTCTGAGATGATTCCCCGTTGTCGGAGTAGCGCTTTGCAGGGCTTCTACTCGGGCCCGAGTCCTTAGAGGACGATGTTGACGAAGATCTCTTCCGAAATTGTGCTTCCATGCTTCGTGATCTTGTCACGAATGTTTTGACAGCGGTTAAAACATGTGTTCGCTTTCTCCCAGTGCCCCATCTTGGTCTCCATGAGTTGCTGCAGGAGCCTGCTGGAGGTGACTGAGTCCTTCGGCTGATATACCTCAACAAGGTCCTTCAAGGCTTCCAAGGCTGGAGCGGCGCTCTCATTGTAAGAGCAAATGCCGAGTTGCTCCGCAGGCGTCATATTACGTAGCAGCACACTGTATGCCATGAGGGACTCGCTGTAGTACTGAGCCCTGGCATCTTCGGTGTTTTCCACTGGTTTAGAGTAGGAGCTGTCGAAGTAGTGGTAGATCTGCGCTGTTTGTAGGAGGAGTTCTAGCTCAAAACTCCATATATAGAAGTGTTTCCCGTCAAACGCGGCAGTAGTCTTGATGTTTGTAACACTGTGAAAACGTGCTTGCACAGAGTTGATAAATTCATCACTTGGACGGGGGGCAGTTGTTGTTGATTTATCTGTGTCGAGGGAGAAGGTGTGTGGGGCGGTATTGCGGCTTTTCGCAGCCATAGGACCAGGTTGTGCTGGTTGGGAAGAGGTCCCCGTGTCACCATTCCGCAATGCTTGGAGGTCTTTCTCCATAGTTCATAGTCGCGAAAATAATTGCTCGAGTGCGGTAGTGCTTATCGTAGTTGTCGCCTCGTTTGGCGCAGCTGGGTTGGCTTGTCATTCGGCCGTCAGATTCGTTTGGCCTCCGGATCCTCCGGCCATCTTGGTCTTGGAGCGTATGCTGCTCGCCAGATCTTGGTTCGGCGAATTTCACGGAAGTGGAGTTGCGAAGAATCCCTGAGTAGCTCTCATTACATGTGCAATCCCAGATGGTACTTGGCAAAGGATCGCCTCAGGGTTGATCGTAGGTAGTGTTGCAACGGAAGTGTTGACCTCAGGTAAGAGTGAATGTAAATGACTGAGATAATAATAGCATGCATCCATCGAGTTTATATAGGGAAATACAAAGAAATGCGAAACGACCTGGACTAACCATGTACTATAAGGGGTACATTTCCTTATTACAGAAAATTCAAACCGTGCGGCGCGGGAACCCGTTTCAAATCTGTTCCAGCTCTTTTCATTTCAGATATTTTTTGCCTGCACCGGTCTTGGTCAGATGGTTGCTGGTGTCGCATCGACTCTTCTAACTCGTCGACTTCGTACTCGGTAAATTCGGCTCCTGCAGCATACAGGAATGCCTTCTCATTGAATTTCATATCGTAACAGGTACTGTGTGATGGGGGTACAGTACAGGCCAATTTTTTATTAGAAAGTTTCACTTTCAAAAGTTGATTAGATGAGCATTCAAATGATGATCCGAAATCAGAGTTATGTGGGACTCGCGTAACGCGTTTCTTCGCGAAACCAAATTTCGTAACCGACACCGATATGGAAACCAGAATCTAAAACTGACTTTGTTGAACTCCACAGAATACAGCCTTGCAGGATTGGGAAGAACTCTGGCTGTGGAGTCTTCTCTCAGGGCGTGTCTGGAAAGTACTGCCGAATACGGTTGAATAAGGCCGAATACCATCTCTCTGCTACCTCCTCCCACTGTCCTGACACATTTTCCACCATGTATCTCCCACGTAATCGCCCATGGTGTTCCGTTTTGTCGTTTTCACGATCTAGAGTTGGTGCAGCGGCGAGCCACTTCTAACACCTTAATATGGCCACTTTCCACGTTGGCTGTCCGCTCACGCTGTAAGGCGCCTCCTGTTATGGCGCCAAGCACCACCCAACCCTATTATCAAGGAATTGAAGCACTTGATCCTAGTGTGACTCGTTAATATGGCTAGTCGTTATTGTGTCTTCAGTATTCCTGTTGCTCAGTCGTCTAGGTTTTCGTGTGCGCAATCCTATTTCCTATTTTACTCCTTATCGGCGTTGAAAAAAATCCACAGAAAACCGTTTCGAACCTTGACGTATTCCGCGCAACTCCTACAACTTTCTATGAGCCCTTCTGACGTAGTTTCCACGCGCCACGACTCCCGTTTTTAACGCACACGCTCCCGCTTCCCTGTGTTCCAATTCCTAACTCCCCTCCGCAGGAGGCCCATATGTCGCTGCTCTCTCGGGTCTGTCGGACCACTGGCTGCCTGCCACGTGGACGCGCAGACGGCTGTGTTGGCGTGGTCCCTGTGGGAGCGCGGGAAGCTTGGGGTGGCGGGGGGGACGAGGACGGGGGGAGGGGGGGGGACGGCGGAAGGGGATGCGGAAGAGGGTGCTGCTGCTGTAACGGACGCTGCTGTGTCGAATGATGCTATAACGGATGATGCTGTAACGAGCGGGTTGCTGTACAATGGAATGGTGACGATCGACGTTCCAGCGTTTGAGAGCGAGGATGATTGGGACGGTGAGAGCGAGGATGATTGGGACGGTGAGAGCGAGGATGATTGGGACGGTGAAAGCTAGGATGCTTGGGACGGTGAGACTCTCGAGAGCGCGCGTGGGATATGAAAGAATGTGGCTGGCAATGAGGACAGTGAAGAACAGCCAAGTGCAATTGCCTGCCTTCTTCCTATTCCCCTCCCGTTGCCTCTTCTAGGCTCTTCTTCCCCACCCCTCCCTCGTCCTCACCTCCCCCCTCGTCCCCACCCTCATCCCCACCTCTCCCGTGGACCCCACCTCTCATCTTATCCCCACCTCTCCCCTCATCCCAACGTCTCCCGGCATTCCCGGCTGTCCCCTCCATGCAGACGGCGGGGTGATCGATCAACCATTCCTGCAAGCCACACAAGCTCCTGCCGCTGGTTACCACGCGGCTGGTTACACGCCTGGCTTGGAGTGGGGCAGTGGGGGGGAGGCAGTGTGGGGGCACTCTGCCTTCGGTGGCCAGGTGCGTGCGTGTGACACACAGTGCGTGCGTGTGACACACAGTGCGTGCGTGTGACACACAGTGCGTGCGTGTGACACACAGTGCGTGCGTGTGACACACAGTGCGTGCGTGTGACACACAGTGCGTGCGTGTGACACACAGTGCGTGCGTGTGACACACAGTGCGTGCGTGTGACACACAGTGCGTGCGTGTGACACACAGTGCGTGCGTGTGACACACAGTGCGTGCGTGTGACACACAGTGCGTGCGTGTGACACACAGTGCGTGCGTGTGACACACAATGCGTGCGTGTGACACACAGTGCGTGCGTGTGACACACAGTGCGTGCGTGTGACACACAGTGCGTGCGTGTGACACACAGTGCGTGCGTGTGACACACAGTGCGTGCGTGTGACACACAGTGCGTGCGTGTGACACACAGTGCGTGCGTGTGACACACAGTGCGTGCGTGTGACACACAGTGCGTGCGTGTGACACACAGTGCGTGCGTGTGACACAGTGCGTGCGTGTGACACACAGTGCGTGCGTGTGTGTGACACACAGTGCGTGCGTGTGACACACAGTGCGTGCGTGTGACAGACAGTGCGTGCGTGTGACACACAGTGCGTGCGTGTGACACACAGTGCGTGCGTGTGACACACAGTGCATGCGTGTGACACACAGTGCGTGCGTGTGACACACAGTGCGTGCGTGTGACACACAGTGCGTGCGTGTGACACACAGTGAGTGCGTGTGTCCCCCCCCATCATTTACCAACCCTTTTCCAGTGCAGCCCCACCTTTCTCCCATCTCGCCCCGTCGCCCTCCCTGCCAAACACCCCCCCCTCTTCCTCCCTCTCCCCCAACTCCCCTCACGTTCCCATGATTCCGTGTTCGCCCTGGCCTGCTGCCCATGGCCACATGTCAGTGTCGTCTCATCGAACGCTGTCCGGCCCCGGGGTCCTCAACGTGCTCTCTTGCCCTTGCTCTGCTCAGGCACCCGTTGAACCTCACCCTCTAGGCTCTGCACCACACCACGTATGTATGTACAGAGAGTTTTATGACCGATCATAAACTATACTCCCATGATCCCAGGAGCTGGATTATGCTAAAGCTCCTTTGAAAAGTCTCAATCACGTGCTCCCTTGCCTTTTCTGATGCTCACTCACGTGATTCCAGGGGCTGGATCACCCACACGGACTCCTTCACTCTGCAGTAGCAGTGGCAGGGGACGCCATTCCCAAGCCTAGAATCCCGGGCCCCAGGCGTCCTCCCAAGCCTAAGATGTCGGCTCGGGCCAAGGCTCTCGCGGCGAGCAAGAAGGGCAAAGCAGGGGCGGCAGCAAAGGCAGCGAGGGCACATGCAGCGGCCACGGCTGCTGCTCTTGCTGCCGGGCTGCCCCCCCCGCCGCTGCCTGCTGTGGTCGTTGCTGCTCTTGCTGCTGCTGCCAATAGCTCTGACCCCTTGCCTCCGTTTCTCGCTGCTGCAGCTGCGGCTGTTGCTGCTGCTGATGCGGCAGCAGCTAAAGCTGCAGGGAAGACTGTTGGTTCGGCTCGTGATCCTTCGGGGGCCGCTGCTGCTGTCCCTGCTCGTGTCGCTGCTGCCGTTGGTGGCGCTGCTGGTGCAGCCGGTGCAGCTGGTGCTGCTAGTGCCCATGCGGTTGGGTCATCTGATTCAGAGCCTGTGCGCTCTCCTTCCTCCAAAGCCGCTCAACCAGTACCCCACCTCGCACCTGCCGCCCCCCCCTTGCCTTCCACGCCCGTCAAGCATGCTACAGCCGCTGCTACAGCTGTAGCGACAGCACCTTCCCCTGGCCCATCCGCCAGTGCGGCTGTTGCAGCAGCAGGGTTGGAATGTGACGGTGCTGCCCGTCCTTCACCTGCTGCTGCTGCCACTGCTGCTGATACTGCTGCTGCTGATGATACCGCTGCAGGGGCTACGTCTGAATCGGTGAAGGAGAGGAGGCGCACGATCAAGATCAAAGGAGGCGCTCAGCGGAAGGTTCTCGTGTTGGTTTCACCCGAAAAACCACCTGAAGTGCCTGCGGCGCAAGCAGAGTCAGCTGCAGTGCGGAGTGACTCAGTTACAGTGCAGAGTGAATCGACTACAGTGCCTCTGGGGAGTGAAACGGCGCCGCGAAAGCCAAAGAGAGTTATTATAATCTCACGCAAAAAAAAAGGTGCTGCTGGTGCTATTGTAACGGATAGTTCCGGTGCTGCTGCTGGCGCTGCTGCTGGTGCTAGTGATACTGGTGATGGTGCCGGTGCTGGTGGTGGTGGTGGTGCTGCTGGTACCGCTGGTGGTGGTGGTGGTGGTGGTGGTGGTGGTGGTGGTGGTGGTGGTGGTGGTGGTGGTGGTGGTGGTGGTGGTGGTGGTGGTGGTGGTGGTGGTGGTGGTGGTGGTGGTGGTGGTGGTGGTGGTGGTGGTGGTGGTGGTGGTGGTGGTGGTGGTGGTGGTGGTGGTGGTGGTGGTGGTGGTGGTGGTGGTGGTGGTGGTGGTGGTGGTGGTGGTGGTGGTGGTGGTGGTGGTGGTGGTGGTGGTAGCATTGTCCGTTCCGGCCACAAGACAGTGCGTGGGGAGGGGCAGCCCAGCAGGGCAATGGCGGCGAGCGGGGCGCATGAAGGCCATGGAGAGGGTGGTGCTGGTGGGGAGGATGATGGGGGAGCAGGTGCTGTGGGTGGGCCGGGAGAGAAGGTCGGAGTGAAGGTGAAGTTAAAGCGTAGAGTGAAAGTGAAGCTTCCTGAAGGGAAGAAGGTAGTAGGTGTGAGTGAAGGTGGGCGTGGCGAGAAGGGAATGGATGGTGAAGCTGCGATAAGGCGGACGGGAGGGCAGGCAGGAGGGGAAGAGGATGGAGGGGAGCGGAAGGAGGGAGAAAAGAAAGAAAAGGAAGGGGATAGAAAGGAGGGAGGAAACAAAGAAACTAAAGCGGAAGGAGGCGAGAGTGGGAAGGGGGACAAGAGGAAAGAGAGAGGGGAGGGAGGGTTGGCAGGGGGTAAGGCGGAGGAAGCAAATAAACGGGAGAGGGAGGAGAAGGTGAAGGGTCCGAGGAGAGAGGAGGGGGAAGAGGAGGGGGGAGAGGGAGGGAGAGGAGGAAAGAGCGAGAAAAAGGGAGAGGATGAGAAGGGAAGCAGGCAGGCAGAGGGAGAAAAACGGGGGCTACTTAAAGCTGTACCTGCAAAGAGGGGGAGACCTGTTGGTGGGTCCAAGGCTGCTGCCGCTGCAATCGCCGCCGCCGCCGCTGCCGCTGCTGCTGTAGCAGCAGGGGCCGCCAGTAACACTGATGCTGCTGGTTGTGGTGCTGCTGTTGGTGGTGCTGAGGGTGTTGCTGTGCCTTCTGGAGGGGTTGATGCTGGGAAGGTTGCACCTGATGAGACGCTGACAGCAGCACGCAAGGACAAGGCGCGTCTGGCTGCTGGGGAGGGGCGAGAAACAGTTGGAAGGGGTGACAACGACGGAGAGAAGGGCAGAGGAAAGAATAGTGCAGAGAATGTTGGAGAAGTGAAGGATGGAGGAAAAGAGTCCGGGGAGGCAGAGGATGGGGAGACCGCTAAGGGGGGAGAGAGGCCAGGGGGAGATAGGGTGGGAGGAGGGGGATGGGGTTGGTGAGAGAGAGAGGGAACGTCATAAGGAGGGGAAAAGGAGGAAGAAACGTGAGCGGGAGAGAGGTGAGTTGGTGGGGAAGAGGGGGGAGAGAGTGAGAGCGGGAGAGGGGGAGCAGACGGATGGAAAGCATAGTGCTGTGGCAGAGAGGCATGTGGCAGAGAGGCATGTGGCTGAAGGCGACGAGGAGGGCGCGAGGGAAGAGGGGGCAGTGGGTGCAGTGGTGAGCGAGGGAGTAGATGCAGGAGGAGAGGGCTCTCAGGGGGAGACGGGTGAGATGGCGAGGGCGAGTAAGATGGAGGGGAGGCGACATGGGGGCAGGGAGAGGAAGAGGAGTGGTGAGGAGGTGGCGAGGAGGGAAAGGAGAGAGGGTGGGAGGGGTGACGATCTGGAAGTGCAGGTGACGGAAGAGAAGAGAGGGAGAGAGAAGCGACATGAGGAGAAGGGGAGAGAGAAGAGGGGAAGAGAAGATGGTGTTGTGAGGAGGGGAGAAAAGGATGAAAGAAAGAGGCGCGGGGATGATTGGGAGGAGGATGCAAGGGAGGAGGAGGGTAAGGAGGACGATGAGGAGCGCAGAAAAGGAGAGGGGGCAGAAAGGATGTCAGCCAGAGCGAGAGCAATGAGAGTGCAGGAGACGGCTGGAGAGGAGGGGATGAAGCGGGTGGGTGGTGATGAGACAGGCCGATATGAGCATGAGGAGGAGGGAGAGAGAGGGGACACGGAAAGGGGAGCAGGGATTTTAAGAGAGGACAAGGAGAGAGGGGAGAGAGGGAGAAGAGGGAGGAAGGGGAGGGAGGCGAGTGAGGGTGGGGAGGGGAGTGTGTGGTGCGGGCTGTGTGGGGGAGAGGAGGAGCAGGGCAGTGCAAAAGCTGCTCGCCTGGTGCCGTGCCCGCAGTGTGGTCGCAGCTTCCACCGCCACTGCCTGCTGGGGATGGCTGACAACAGAGGTATGTCTGTGTGCTCTGTGCCTGCTCTGTGCCTGCTGTGTGCCTGCTGTGTGCCTGCTGTGTGCCTGCTGTGTGCCTGTTGTGTGCCTGTTGTGTGCCTGTTGTGTGCCTGTTGTGTGCCTGCTGGGTACGGCTAGTGGTATGCAGTGCATGTGTGGCTCTCACGTCATGCCCTGTGCTGCTCGCCACTCGCTTGCTGTCGTGCTCCCAGTGCCGCCGCAGCTTTCGCTGCCACTGCCTCTTGGCCATGGTTCGCAACAGAGGTACTTCGTCTGTGTGCTGTGGGGTGGGTTTGGGTTTCGGGTGGGGCGGGATGCGCGCGTCACTGTGGATGGTGTGTGCTGCTGATTTCCTTTCTTGCTCTTCTTCAATTCGCCTCCCTTACCCCTTGTTCCACCCATTGACCCGCATCCCCCCTCCCGTTGCCCCACACCCTCCACCCCCCTCGGTTGCCCCACATTCCCTCCCATCCACTTCCGCCCGTGCCCCACATCCCCTCTTGCCCATACTCACCCATCAGGCCCCCCCTCACATCCTCCTCTCCCCCCCCCTCCCAATGCCCTCTCCGCACTGCCTTGCTGTGCGCAGGCAAGCTGGACTGGCGGGACTGGGTGTGCCCGGGGTGCATTCGCTGTGAGGTGAGCCGCGGCATGGGGGATGGAGCATGGGGGTGGATGGGTGGGGCATGGGGTGGGGGGGAGGTGGGGGGGCGCGATATGATGCCATGTGATGCCATGGGCTGTCATTTCACATGCCCCCAGGGCCCCAGCAGTCCCCTCCCCAGAGGCGCTCGTCTCTTGAGTCAACTCAAGCAAACCTTGGTCCTTTCTCTCGTGTGCCCTTGCTCCTTTCTCTCGTGTGCCCTTGCTCCTTTCTCTCGTGTGCCCTTGCTCCTTTCTCTCGTGTGCCCTTGCTCCTTTCTCTCGTGTGCCCTTGCTCCTTTCTCCCGTGTGCCCTTGCTCCTTTCTCTCGTGTGCCCTTGCTCCTTTCTCTCGTGTGCCCTTGCTCCTTTCTCTCGTGTGCCCTTGCTCCTTTCTCTCGTGTGCCCTTGCTCCTTTCTCTCGTGTGCCCTTGCTCCTTTCTCTCGTGTGCCCTTGCTCCTTTCTCTCGTGTGCCCTTGCTCATTTCTCTCGTGTGCCCTTGTTCCTTTCTCTCGTGTGCCCTTGCTCCTTTCTCTCGTGTGCCCTTGCTCCTTTCTCTCGTGTGCCCTTGCTCCTTTCTCTCGTGTGCCCTTGCTCCTTTCTCTTGTGTGCCCTTGCTCCTTTCTCTCGTGTGCCCTTGCTCCTTTCTCTCGCGTGCCCTTGCTCCTTTCTCTCGTGTGCCCTTGCTCCTTTCTCTCGTGTGCCCTTGCTCCTTTCTCTCGTGTGCCCTTGCTCCTTTCTCTCGTGTGCCCTTGCTCCTTTCTCTCGTGTGCCCTTGCTCCTTTCTCTCGTGTGCCCTTGCTCCTTTCTCTCGTGTGCCCTTGCTCCTTTCTCTCGTGTGCCCTTGCTCCTTTCTCTCGTGTGCCCTTGCTCCTCCTCTCTCTCGTGTGCCCTTGCTCCTCCTCTCTCTGCTGGCTGGGAACCCTCATCCATCCTCTGCTACTATCATGTTTCACTCTGCTTTGCCTGCCCCTAAACCGTGAAACCTTGAACCCTAAACCGTGAAACCTTGAACCCTAAACCGTGAAACCTTGAACCCTAAACCGTGATATTTTCTGTCAGGCCTGCCACCGCTACGGTCGTCCATCCCGTGCTGCTCTGAACCACCTCCCCACCAACTCACACCTCCCCACCAACTCACACCTCCCCACCAACTCACACCTCACCACCAACTCACACCTCACCACCAACTCACACCTCACCACCAACTCACACCTCACCACCAACTCACACCTCACCACCAACTCACACCTCCCCACCAACTCACACCTCCCCACCAACTCACACGTCCCTGCCTCCACACTTTGTGTTGCCTTGCCTGTCCCTAAACCCCGAGCAGGCCTGCCAGCGCTACGGGGAGCCGTCGTCCATCGTGTGCTGCTATCGCTGTGACAGGGGCTACCATGTGGCATGCACTCAGCTGCACACCAAGGTGAGCACATGTCCTGTGCTTGAATGAGTGCGAGTGCGTGAGTGAGTGAGAGAGCGAGGGTGTGAGTATGTGATTGAGGAAGTGCGTTGCTGTGTGTGATTGAGGAAGTGCGTTCCTGTGTGTGATTGAGGAAGTGCGTTGCTGTGTGCGATTGAGGAAGTGCGTTGCTGTGTGCGATTGAGGAAGTGTGTTGCTGTGTTCGGTGAGCTGCTGTGCTTCATGCAGCCCAAACTCTATGCTGCTGTCCCTCACAATATTCTCTGCACCTCTCTGCACCCCTCTGCACCATCTACCCGCTTCTTCGTTCCTCTGCTCCCTTCTGCACCCCTCTACGTTCCTCTTCACTCACACATCTGCACCTCTCTCCATCCCTCTGCACTGCACCTTCTGCATCCCTCTGCACCCCACCAGTCGCCCTTCAAGGGTCCCTTCGTGTGTCCCAGCCACACGCAGTGCCACAGCTGCGGCTCCAAAGTGCCGGGCAGTGGCACGTCCTCGCGGTGAGACGAGGGAATAACAGGGAGTGGGGATAACAGGGAGTGGGGATAACAGGGAGTGGGGATAACAGGGAGTGGGGATAACAGGGAGTGGGGATAACAGGGAGTGGGGATAACAGGGAGTGGGGATAACAGGGAGTGGGGATAACAGGGAGTGGGGATAACAGGGAGTGCGGATAACAGGGAGTGGGGATAACAGGGAGTGGGGATAACAGGGAGTGGGGATAACAGGGAGTGGGGATAACAGGGAGTGGGGATAACAGGGAGTGGGGATAACAGGGAGTGGGGATAACAGGGAGTGGGGATAACAGGGAGTGGGGATAACAGGGAGTGGGGATAACAGGGAGTGGGGATAACAGGGAGTGGGGATAACAGGGAGTGGGGATAACAGGGAGTGGGGATAACAGGGAGTGGGGATAACAGGGAGTGGGGATAACAGGGAGTGGGGATAACAGGGAGTGGGGATAACAGGGAGTGGGGATAACAGGGAGTGGGGATAACAGGGAGTGGGGATAACAGGGAGTGCGGATAACAGGGAGTGGGGATAACAGGGAGTGGGGATAACAGGGAGTGGGGATAACAGGGAGTGGGGATAACAGGGAGTGGGGATAACAGGGAGTGGGGATAACAGGGAGTGGGGATAACAGGGAGTGGGGATAACAGGGAGTGGGGATAACAGGGAGTGGGGATAACAGGGAGTGGGGATAACAGGGAGTGGGGATAACAGGGAGTGGGGATAACAGGGAGTGGGGATAACAGGGAGTGGGGATAACAGGGAGTGGGGATAACAGGGAGTGGGGATAACAGGGAGTGGGGATAACAGGGAGTGGGGAGAAGGCTGGAGGGAACAGGGGATGGGGATAACAGGGAGTGGTAAGATGTGTGGGGGGGTGGGAGTGTGGGAGAGAGACGGGAAAATACCTGGGTGCAGGTGAGGATGGTGGGAGGAAAAGATGTGTGATCGTCTGCCCTCTGTTCCCACGCCCTGTCGCCTTCTCTATCCCTCCCCCACTTCCCCTCCCTCTGCTCCCCTTTCCCTCCTTTCTCCCAGTCTCACCGCGCTCCCCCTCTGGTTCCTCCATCCCCTATCTCACCATCCATCCATCTCCTCTTACCTCTTCCCCCCCTAGCTTGTATTTCAACCACATGCTTTGTGCTGCCTTTCAACCACATGCTTTGTGCTGCCTTTCAACCACATGCTTTGTGCTGCCTTTCAACCACATGCTTTGTGCTGCCTTTCAACCACATGCTTTGTGCTGCCTTTCAACCACATGCTTTGTTCTGCCTTTCCTCCCCCCTTCCTCCTCTCGCTCCCCTCCTCTTTCCCCCTTCGGCTTACCTCTCCCCCCCACCCCTCCAGCTGCTGCCTCAACTACATGTTCTGTCACACTTCTCGCTCTCCCATCCTCCTCTCCCCTCCTCCTCCCCCCATTCTCCCACCCCCCTCCCCTTCCCCATCCCCCCAGGGGGTTTTTCGCTACATGCTCTTTGACACCTTGCCCTTTTCCCCTATCCCGTTTTGTTCCCTCCTGACCGCCTGTCCGTTCGTTCTTCCCACCACCCGCAGGTGGTTCTTCAACTACATGCTGTGTGACGCCTGTGGCCGCCTCTTCGTCAAGAAGAAGCACTGCCCCGTCTGCCTCAGGGTAGGTGCCCCGTCTGCCTCAGGGTAGGTGCCCCGTCTGCCTCAGGGTAGGTCCACGTGGGGGAGGAAAGCACTGCTGGGGAGGGTGCAGCCCGGGTGGGGCAGCCCGGGTGGGGCAGCCTGGGTGGGGCAGCTGGGGTGGGGCAGCTGGGGTGGGGCAGCTGGGGTGGGGCAGCTGGGGTGGGGCAGCTGGGGTGGGGCAGCTGGGGGGTAGGTGCGGCAGGGGGAGATAAAGTGCAGGTGAGGTATGCTCTTGGTGGCGAATCATCATTGCCAAGTCCCGTGCTTCAGGGTAGGTGGAGTGGGGCAGCTGGGGTGGGTGCAGCTGGGGCGTGACTGACTGTGACTGACAGTGACTGGCTGAAACAAATGCCTCCGTTTGCATTTGATCATCATCAGGTGTTTCCAGGCTCTCATTCCTACTCTCGCTGACTGTCTGCATGTGTGTATGCATGTGTGTATGCATGTGTGTCTGCATGTGTGTATGCATGTGTGTATGCATGTGTGTATGCATGTGTGTATGCATGTGTGTATGCATGTGTGTATGCATGTGTGTATGCATGTGTGTATGCATGTGTGTATGCATGTGTGTATGCATGTGTGTATGCATGTTTGTATGCATGTGTGTATGCATGTGTGTATGCATGTGTGTATGCATGTGTGTATGCATGTGTGTATGCATGTGTGTATGCATGTGTGTATGCATGTGTGTATGCATGTGTGTATGCATGTGTGTATGCATGTATGTATGCATGTGTGTATGCATGTGTGTATGCATGTGTGCCTGTGCGTGTGTGTGCATGTGTGTATGCATGTGTGTATGCATGTGTGTATGCATGTGTCTCTGCATGTGTGTATGCATGTGTGTCTGCATGTGTGTCTGCATGTGAGTCTGCATGTGTGTATGCATGTGTGTATGCATGTGTGTATGCATGTGTGTATGCATGTGTGCCTGCATGTGTGTATGCATGTGTGTATGCATGTGAGTCTGCATGCGTGTATGCATGTGTGTATGCATGTGTGTATGCATGTGTGTATGCATGTGTGTATGCATGTGTGCCTGCATGTGTGTATGCATGTGTGTCTGCATGTGTGTCTGCATGTGATTCTGCATGTGTGTATGCATGTGTGTATGCATGTGTGTATGCATGTGTGTATGCATGTGTGTATGCATGTGTGTATGCATGTGTGTATGCATGTGTGTGTGCATGTGTCTCTGCATGTGTGTATGCATGTGTGTCTGCATGTGTGTCTGCATGTGATTCTGCATGTGTGTATGCATGTGTGTATGCATGTGTGTATGCATGTGTGTATGCATGTGTGTATGCATGTGTGTATGCATGTGTGTATGCATGTGTGTTTGCATGTGAGTCTGCATGTGAGTCTGCATGTGAGTCTAATGTGTTGACACTATACATGCATCCCCATCCCACCGCCCTCATCGCAGGTGTATCGGGACTCAGAGCCAACGCCAATGGTGTGTTGTGACAAATGCGAGCACTGGGTGCATTGCGCATGTGACAACATCAGGTGGGTAAGAGGTGCCGTTTATGTACCTGGACACACTTTGTGCATGTGGCAGTACTATATTGCAATCACACCTCCCTCCCTCTTCTACTTTCCAGCAACCCCCCTCTCTCTCCCTCCCTTTTCTTTCCTTCCCCCCTTCGCTGTCACAGACACTCTCTCTCACTCCTTGCACTTCTTGACCTTGACCAGCCCAATCTATTCCTCACTGTTGACAATTGTTTCACTTCTCCGTGCTTGTTTTACTTCTCCGTGCTTGATTTACTTCTCCGTGCTTGATTTACTTCTCCGTGCTTGATTTACTTCTCCGTGCTTGATTTACTTCTCCGTGCTTGTTTTACTTCTCCGTGCTTGATTTACTTCTCCGTGCTTGATTTACTTCTCCGTGCTTGATTTACTTCTCCGTGCTTGATTTACTTCTCCGTGCTTGATTTACTTCTCCGTGCTTGATTTACTTCTCCGTGCTTGATTTACTTCTCCGTGCTTGATTTACTTCTCCGTGCTTGATTTACTTCTCCGTGCTTGATTTACTTCTCCGTGCTTGATTTACTTCTCCGTGCTTGATTTACTTCTCCGTGCTTGATTTACTTCTCCGTGCTTGATTTACTTCTCCGTGCTTGATTTACTTCTCCGTGCTTGATTTACTTCTCCGTGCTTGATTTACTTCTCCGTGCTTGATTTACTTCTCCGTGCTTGATTTACTTCTCCGTGCTTGATTTACTTCTCCGTGCTTGATTTACTTCTCCGTGCTTGATTTACTTCTCCGTGCTTGATTTACTTCTCCGTGCTTGATTTACTTCTCCGTGCTTGATTTACTTCTCCGTGCTTGATGAACTCTCCGTGCTTGATTTACTTCTCCGTGCTTGGTTTACTTCTCCGTGCTTGATTTACTTCTCCGTGCTTGGTTTACTTCTCCGTGCTTGATTTACTTCTCCGTGCTTGATTTACTTCTCCGTGCTTGATTTACTTCTCCGTGCTTGATTTACTTCTCCGTGCTTGATTTACTTCTCCGTGCTTGATTCACTTCTCAGTGCTTGATTCACTTCGCCGTGCTTCATTTACTTCGCCGTGCTTGGTTTACTTCTCCGTGCTTGATTCACTTCGCCGTGCTTGATTCACTTCGCCGTGCTTGGTTTACTTCTCCGTGCTTGATTCACTTCTCCGTGCTTGATTCACTTCTCCGTGCTTGATTCACTTCTCCGTGCTTGATTACTTCTCCGTGCTTGATTTACTTCTCCGTGCTTGATTTACTTCTCCGTGCTTGATTTACTTCTCCGTGCTTGATTTACTTCTCCGTGCTTGATTTACTTCTCCGTGCTTGATTTACTTCTCCGTGCTTGATTTACTTCTCCGTGCTTGATTTACTTCTCCGTGCTTGATTTACTTCTCCGTGCTTGATTTACTTCTCCGTGCTTGATTTACTTCTCCGTGCTTGATTTACTTCTCCGTGCTTGATTTACTTCGCCGTGCTTGATTTACTTCGCCGTGCTTGATTTACTTCTCCGTGCTTGGTTTACTTCTCCGTGCTTGGTTTACTTCGCCGTGCTTGGTTTACTTCGCCGTGCTTGGTTTACTTCGCCGTGCTTGGTTTACTTCGCCGTGCTTGATTTACTTCTCCGTGCTTGATTTACTTCTCCGTGCTTGATTTACTTCTCCGTGCTTGATTTACTTCTCCGTGCTTGATTTACTTCTCCGTGCTTGATTTACTTCGCCGTGCTTGATTTACTTCTCCGTGCTTGATTTACTTCTCCGTGCTTGATTTACTTCTCCGTGCTTGATTTACTTCTCCGTGCTTGATTTACTTCTCCGTGCTTGATTTACTTCTCCGTGCTTGATTTAATTCTCCGTGCTTGATTTACTTCTCCGTGCTTGATTTACTTCTCCGTGCTTGATTTACTTCTCCGTGCTTGATTTACTTCTCCGTGCTTGATTTACTTCTCCGTGCTTGATTTACTTCTCCGTGCTTGATTTACGTCGCCGTGCTTGATTTACTTCTCCGTGCTTGATTTACTTCTCCGTGCTTGATTTACTTCTCCGTGCTTGATTTACTTCTCCGTGCTTGATTTACTTCTCCGTGCTTGATTTACGTCGCCGTGCTTGATTTACTTCTCCGTGCTTGATTTACTTCTCCGTGCTTGATTTACTTCTCCGTGCTTGATTTACTTCTCCGAGCTTGATTTACTTCTCCGTGCTTGATTTACTTCGCCGTGCTTGATTTACTTCGCCGTGCTTGATTTACTTCTCCGTGCTTGGTTTACTTCGCCGTGCTTGGTTTACTTCGCCGTGCTTGGTTTACTTCGCCGTGCTTGGTTTACTTCGCCGTGCTTGATTTACTTCTCCGTGCTTGATTTACTTCTCCGTGCTTGATTTACTTCTCCGTGCTTGATTTACTTCTCCGTGCTTGATTTACTTCTCCGTGCTTGATTTACGTCGCCGTGCTTGATTTACTTCTCCGTGCTTGATTTACTTCTCCGTGCTTGATTTACTTCACGTGCTTGATTTACTTCTCCGTGCTTGATTTACTTCTCCGTGCTTGATTTACTTCTCCGTGCTTGATTTACTTCTCCGTGCTTGATTTACTTCTCCGTGCTTGATTTACTTCTCCGTGCTTGATTTACTTCTCCGTGCTTGATTTACTTCTCCGTGCTTGATTTACTTCTCCGTGCTTGATTTACTTCTCCGTGCTTGATTTACGTCGCCGTGCTTGATTTACTTCTCCGTGCTTGATTTACTTCTCCGTGCTTGATTTACTTCTCCGTGCTTGATTTACTTCTCCGTGCTTGATTTACTTCTCCGTGCTTGATTTACTTCGCCGTGCTTGATTTACTTCGCCGTGCTTGATTTACTTCTCCGTGCTTGGTTTACTTCTCCGTGCTTGGTTTACTTCGCCGTGCTTGGTTTACTTCGCCGTGCTTGGTTTACTTCGCCGTGCTTGGTTTACTTCGCCGTGCTTGATTTACTTCTCCGTGCTTGATTTACTTCTCCGTGCTTGATTTACTTCTCCGTGCTTGATTTACTTCTCCGTGCTTGATTTACTTCTCCGTGCTTGATTTACTTCTCCGTGCTTGATTTACTTCTCCGTGCTTGATTTACTTCTCCGTGCTTGATTTACTTCTCCGTGCTTGATTTACTTCTCCGTGCTTGATTTACTTCTCCGTGCTTGATTTACTTCTCCGTGCTTGATTTACTTCTCCGTGCTTGATTTACTTCTCCGTGCTTGATTTACGTCGCCGTGCTTGATTTACTTCTCCGTGCTTGATTTACTTCTCCGTGCTTGATTTACTTCTCCGTGCTTGATTTACTTCTCCGTGCTTGATTTACTTCTCCGTGCTTGATTTACTTCGCCGTGCTTGATTTACTTCGCCGTGCTTGATTTACTTCTCCGTGCTTGGTTTACTTCGCCGTGCTTGGTTTACTTCGCCGTGCTTGGTTTACTTCGCCGTGCTTGGTTTACTTCGCCGTGCTTGATTTACTTCTCCGTGCTTGATTTACTTCTCCGTGCTTGATTTACTTCTCCGTGCTTGATTTACTTCTCCGTGCTTGATTTACTTCTCCGTGCTTGATTTACGTCGCCGTGCTTGATTTACTTCTCCGTGCTTGATTTACTTCTCCGTGCTTGATTTACTTCACGTGCTTGATTTACTTCTCCGTGCTTGATTTACTTCTCCGTGCTTGATTTACTTCTCCGTGCTTGATTTACTTCTCCGTGCTTGATTTACTTCTCCGTGCTTGATTTACTTCTCCGTGCTTGATTTACTTCTCCGTGGTTGATTTACTTCTCCGTGCTTGATTTACTTCTCCGTGCTTGA